CGCTCCGAAGTTAGACATGCCACGTTGTAGCACATTGGCTAGTTTTTGTGCTTTCCTGTGTATGTTGCCTAAGAATATCATCATAGAAGACGTGCCATTCGATAGGAGTATTTGTCTACTGGGTGTAATTATTTTTATCAGAAGTAAATCTGTAGGTAAATACAGAAATGTTTACTGGCGTAGTCCACGTAGTGTTTTCATGCTTAGGAAATAATTTTTGTATTTGGTCTAACAATAAGATAGTCTCTTCAGAGATAGGAAACGACTTCCAACATCGTTCAGGTAATTTGCTTTAACTTTTCTGCAAACTTCGTAACTCCGAGTTAAAGCCTTTGCCTCATGATCACTCTTCTCAATTTAATTTATGCTATTTGGTTGCTATCCTAATTGCAAATCTTCTGGTTATTTCGCCACACCTAGTTGCACCGTTTTGTATTAATTTCTCAGACGTTTCGAGCATGAAACTGCAACCTTTGCGTACACCTACTGAGAAATCACAATAGATTCGACTTCAAGGGAGCAAAAAACTACTGAAGTTTTATTACGACTTGTTTAAAAGACATACAACGATTCGTTTTTACCAAGTTTCTTATTTCGTCTTATATCTAACTTAACAGTGTAATAGTTTCTCTTTTCTACCGTTAGATGTCGCTTACATCGCTATCATTAACAACAGCAACTAGGAACAGTTCTGCTGTTTGGTGCATTAGGTGATGAAAATTAATGGACATCAGATTTGCTCCAAGTTTTGAAGTAAAAGTGGTGCAAAATCTAGTTTCTTGGCTATCTAGTAGACACTTCTGGAATTACACTGAATACATTAATTACTCAGAAGAAAATATTCAAGCATTTAATTGCTTAATCAAAGATGAGTTTTAAAATTTGTTTCTACATCAACGATTTATTCAATAAATTTAAAATCTGACTCATCATTTTGATGGGATATTGATACCCAATATATATAAAACCACACTATAATCCCATGGATTTCTATGATATTGGTCTTCTCGGGATGATATTCGAAAGTCGAGCAAAACTCATTTTTCACTAGGAAAACTGGGAACATCACGTTCAGTGGGAGCATTACCGCACAAAATACCCAAGCGATCAATCTTAATAACGACTACCTGCACCCTCGGCGGTGCAGTTCCAGCCATACGAAGGGGTGTTCGAAAGCACATGGCCCATCAGCTGCTAATGACACCGTATTTCAAATTATTAATTACGCTATCGTCGAAAAGCCGTATAAAAAACGAGACGTGTCATCGACCTCGATCTTTATCTGTTTACTTCTCCCCCATCTTTATTTCCCTTATTTTGAGGGGATCGTTCGTTTCAGTTGCAGTGCCATAATGGGCAAGTTCTCTCCCTTCTTGGGTTTAAAAATTTTTTATCTTTCCGCGAAACTGAAACTTTTCATGATTAATGTTCATTATCATTAAATTAAGTGTATCTTAGTCATCCCATTAATCAATACACTTTCTCACATCCCGCGCAAAGTCATTGTAGCTCAGACATTTTCAGATTATCTAGAAACATGATTACATTGCCAAAGGTTTCTACGATCATGAATAACATGGTCTTCATACTGTAGTGTTTCTTGCATCACGGTCAACTCATCTCTTGGCACCATGAGTAACCAAGTTATTTATGAAGTAAAGTACTTCAGGGGATTGAAAAAAATGACTCACAGTAGAAGTAGTATATCACCAAATTTTGCCCAAGTAATAAATATTTTGAACGCTTTGCACCTGAACCAGGAATATATTACTAAATTAATCGTTTCAGAAACATAGTAGCTTTATGATGAAATTGACCAAGATAAACAGAAAAGTGGCAGAACTTTCTGGCACCAATTTTCAATCTGGAAGCAGTATTAAAGAAAAATTATCATCTTGTTAAACAATTATCCATTCTATGACCAAATTATATTCGCAAATATCATCGAACAAGGAAACTAGACTTTTCTAATTTGGTCGCCTCTGTCCTCGATATGTTGGGTATCTTTTTCTTGTGGATTTAGATTCAACTACTTAGGGCGTCACAATTTATTAGCAGCCAGGGCATTTATGGAGAGTATCTGAAGTAAATCCGTAAAGCAGAATTAGATAATTGCTGGATATGAGAAAGTATGAACTGCATTTTCAAATTCGTACCCAAATTTCGTAAGGAAGAGAGTGTTTTTTTACAAAAGGTGCGATTTGGTCGAGACTAAATTCAATGTTGAGATATTTCTTTTGGAGAATGAGCAGAATTGGATGGCAATTATGATTACGAGTAAATTTAAGATAGCTCACCTTAACGTTCGCTCACTGCAGCCTAAAATTGATCAAGTAAGCTTGCTACTTATTGAGCACAACTTTGATATGTTTGCTATTACGGAAACTTGGTTGGATCCGAGTGTTCCGGATTATGATCTTGCAATAGAAGGTAATAATCTATATCGACATGATAGACATGGACGTGGTGGAGGCGTTTGCTGGTATGTACGGTCTAACGTGGTTTGTAGGGTTATGGATGTGGAGGGTGCCTTGGAACAATTATGGATAAAAGTTTCCCTGAAGAAATTATCGTTATGGTGTGGTGTTATTTATAAGCCCCCGAACATAGCTGCTGGAGACTTTATAGCTTCCTTTGAAGAAGTATTGGCACAAGTTACTTTATTGGCTGACGATGTCTTATGCGTTGGGGACTTTAACATAGATATGCTCAAATCTGACACGGCAGCTGTTTCTGAATTAATTAATACTCTGGAGGTGTTTGGACTGCAGCGGCTAATTAAAGAGCCAACACGAGTCACCCCGAAAACTGCCACTTTGCTTGATGTTATTCTGTTCTCTAACGATGAATTAGTGTCTGATAGTGGGGTGTTGGATAATGATCTGTCGGATCATTCTCTGGTCTTTGTTGAGCTACATACACCACAGGAGAGGGTCGTACCCCTTTTCAAGACATATCGGAACAACGTTGGTTTTAGCGAGTTAATGTTTTATGAGCACTTACAACCATTGCCCTGGCGAATTCTATACGAGATACAGACTATAGATGAAAAAGTTAGATTTCTAACTGAAAATATACTAGTGCTATTGGATCTGCACGCGCCGCTAAAGAAAGCTCGAATTACTAAGCCAGGGGCCCCCTGGATATCTGCTGAACTAAGAGCAGCAATGCAAAATCGAGATAAACTGCTTCAATCTTTTAAGCGCTCACGAGACCCCGCGCATTGGCAGCTATATAAAACGGCGCGTAACTTGATTACAAATATGCATCGCAATTGTAAACAAAAATATTTACAAAATTTTTTGGATTGGGGTAACGGTGCTAAGACCTGGCATACTTTGAAATCCACGAATTTAATTAAGTCCAAACATAGATCGCTTCCTAACCACTTTCAAGATGCTTCTATTATTAACGATTTCTTTATTGATTCGCTTCCCAGCACTAATACCACCGTTGATAATAATATGTATTCCAACTTAAATGAACGTGTTGTAATCCCTCTCAGATTTTCTACAGTATCTGAAAGCGATGTTCTGAAGATTTTGAAATCAATTAAATCTAATGCAATTGGTACCGATGGAGTATCGGTTAAAACATTAGAATACTGTATGCCATTTCTACTGCCTTATGTCACACATCTTGTTAATTTTTGTATTCAAAATAGTGTATTTCCTTCTTTGTGGAAAGTAGCAGTCGTGCGCCCGATTCCAAAAGTTGCTAATCCGATCCTCGTTTCTGACCTTCGTCCAATAAGTATACTAACGGCAATGTCAAAAATCATGGAAAAAATTATTAATGTTCAACTGCAGCATCACCTGGAAATTAATAACATCCTTCCTTCGGTTCAGTCTGGATTTAGACATGGTCACAGTTGTACGACTGCTTTAACGTGTGTAATCGATGACATAATGGGTGCAACAGATAGAGGGTACATGACTATACTTGTTCTATTGGATTACACGAAGGCATTTGATACAGTAAATCACAACCTCTTACTAACTATTTTAAAGCACTATGGGCTGGAAGATTCAGCAGTTGCATTCTTTGAGAATTTCTTAAGTGGTCGTCAACAATACGTGCAGCTGTCTAACCATCAATCTAATGTACGCCTTCTTGGGTCGGGTGTGGCGCAGGGTTCTGTGCTCTCCCCAACCCTGTTCTCAATTTACACAGCACCTTTAAGTAATATTTTTAAGTACTGCAAAGTTCATTTTTACGCAGACGATACTCAGGTGTATATATCATATAAACCTCAAGAACAACAACATTATCTGAATTTATTGAATATAGAATTGTCGGATCTGGTGTCTGCCGCCAACCATCACAGTTTAGTAATCAATCCGAATAAATCAAAAGTTATGATATTTGGCCGAAAAATGGATATTTTGCGTTATGGTGGAGATGTCAGGGTAACGGTCAACGGATCAACGCTCCCCATTGTATCTGAAGCACGTAATTTAGGGTTGGTGATGGATTCGGATTTGAGATTCCGGAGTCACGTGTCAAGTATGCTTCAGGGTGCGTTTGGTAAACTAAAAGCTCTGTACCCCTCTCGCCATCTTCTCACTGTCAACACTAAGACTCTACTTTGTAATGCGCTGATTTTATCAAAATTTAATTTTGGAGATGTGGTGTATGGGCCGTCTTTACTTAGGGTCGATGAGCAGCGCATACAGAGGGTTCAGAACGCCTTTCTGCGATTTATTTTCGGGATTAGGAAGTATGATAGAATTTCACATAAGTTGACAGAGGTAAAATGGCTTAATATGGTCCATAGGAGGCAGCTGCATTGTTGTGTGTTTTATTACAACATAATTCAGAGAGAAAAGCCTCAATATTTATGTGTGCTCGTGTGTTTATGCGAATTGCGCTCGATATTGATCAGACGAACGTGTGTTTCGACTCATTTTAAAGCGTGTTTCGACTTGTCACACCGTCTACAGTCGTGTTTCTTTGTCGGTGGTTATTAGCAGATTATTAGTTTGTTCCTGAAATAAATAATGGCTGAAAAACGAAAGAAGGTTGTGTTAACGATTCCACAAAAAATAGAAATGATTTCTAAAATAGAAAATGGCGCATCAAGAAAGCAGATGTGTTTACAATACGGGATTGGGGAAACAACAGTGCGAGATGTTTTAAAGCAAAAAGAAAAGTTATTGGCTTTTGCAACAGTTTCAAACAGTGTTTCTGGAATGAAAAAACGAAAAACAATGAAGAAATCCACGTACAGTGAACTTGACTCGGCATTAGCGGAGTGGCTAGCTCAAGAGCGAAGTGAAGGCACTCCTGTATCCGGTCCTAACATTGCAGCTAAAGCAAAAGTCTTCTTTGATTTGTTAGGACTGGAAGGAAATTTTGATGCGTCGTCCGGTTGGTTACATCGTTTTAAGAAACGTTATGGAATTAGGGAGATAGGTCTTCATGGGGAAAAGCTGAGCGGTGATCAACAAGCAGCTGACGATTTTCAACGTGATTTTGAAAAGTTTGTAATGTCGGAAGATTTGTCACCAGAACAAATTTATAATGCTGATGAATCAGGGCTTTTTTGGAAGTGTCTTCCCACTCGCACTTTAGCATTTGAAAGTGAACATAAAGCGGCAGGACACAAAAGTAGCAAGGAAAGAATCACAATCTTGCCATGCAGCAATGCTGCTGGTACCCACAAACTGAAACTTCTTGTAATCGGTAAATCTAAGAAACCAAGGTCTTTTAAGGGGACAAGAGCAGACAATTTACCAGTCGATTATTTCAATCAAAAAAAAGGTTGGATGAACCAGCAGATTTTTCAAGAATGGTTTGAAAAGATTTTTGTGCCTCAAGTACGTAAACACCTTGATTCAAAGAATTTACCAAGAAAGGCCGTTTTATTAATTGACAACGCGCCTTCACACCCTGCCGCAAGTGTGCTTAAATCTTCTGATGAACAAATTTTTGCAAAGTTTTTGCCCCCAAATGTTACTGCGCTCATACAGCCTATGGACCAGGGGGTCATTGCAACTGTGAAGAGGATATACAGAACAAAGTTGGTAAAAACAAAAATTGAAGAAGGTTACGATTTTAAGCAGCTTTGGAAGATGTATACAATTTTGGATAGCATTTACGATATTGCGTTTGCATGGGATTGTATTAAACCGTCAACCCTCGTCAAATCGTGGAGAAAACTCTTTCCAAATATTGAAGTAAATGTCAACCAAAACATTGGTGAAGAACATAATGAAGATATGCCTATCGCTGCACTTATTGACTTAGTGACATCCGTTCCGGGAGGTGAGAATGTAAATCAAGAAAACATAGAAGAGTGGCTGGAATGTGACAAAAATGAGCCAGGGTTTGAACGACTATCTGACGTAGAAATAACAAACAAAGCAATGGGAGTGAACGAAGAAAACGAAGAAATTGAAAGTGAAGAAGGCGAGGTGCTTGCGCGGATGACACATGAAACTGCTTTGCAGCATGTAGACGGATTGCTTCAATATTTAGAGGAGCAAGACGACGCACATCTGGCAGAAAAACTTATGCTAAGGAACGTACAATCCAGAATAAAGAAAAGGTGCTTCCAAAGCAAGAAGCAAAAGCTAGTGACCGATTTTTTTAAAAAGATGTAACTGACAGTTTTTGTCTACAGTACAGTTTTGTTTACAGTACAGTGATACAATACATATGTACATATTATTTTTTGTTTATTACTAGTCTTTACTTTAGTCTTTAGTGATTTACATGTAGAAGAAAGGTTTAAGTAAAATAGTCTTTATGGTGGATTATGTTTTGTGTTTCCACCTTATTTTTAGTCTTTTTCGGGTTATCCGCGATTTTTATTATCCGCGGCGCCCTTGCCACCCAATTCCGCGGATAATCGGGGCACTACTGTATTTAAATGTAAGGCGAAGGTGGCATTTATTAAGTATTAGTTTTCTTTTTTTTTACATTTTTTTTCCGTTTCTATCTGTACTGGCAGAGGTATTCCTTTAATTATTTTCTTTATATATCTAGTTTGTTCGCTTGTTGCTGAACGTTTTTGAATTTTTTGAATATTATTATAATGGAATTTAAGGTTAAGTTGAGCAGTGTCTCGGCACTGAACTTCGCCATTTCGTACTATTATAATTTACTAGTGAATTTAGTATTTTATTTTATTTTTTTTTTGTTTTGTATAGAATATTTAATTTGTTAATTTGATGTTGGTACGAATAAAGACATTATTATTATTATTATTCTTAAGAGGGATTTTAAAAACAGGAGATAAAGATCCGGAGCACAATCTGAATTCTTTGGAAAACTTTGGAAATCTTTTTGGTTTTAGTTGTTTGACAATCCCAGTTATAGGCCAAGTATCTGTATAGCAGATTTTCTAATCTCTATAATAATAGAAAAAAAAGATGGGTTTGGTTAGAATATTAGAAGTTGCTAAGATCTTGCTTTGAGATCTGGTTTACCAAATCGTAAGCCATATTTTCCACGATGATTAGCTTACACGAACATTGCCTGAAGATGTTAGGAAGACACTGCGGACCATAAAATCAACGCCGAGGACTAAACACAGAGTTGATTTAGACTTTATACACAGCTATATCAATGCAGATTTGATAGAGACTTAAATTAGTCTTAATAAAGGCAAAAGATCATAATGCCATGTCATAAGGTATATATAATGCAAACTTCAGAAATTTGATGAGATTTTATGCCGTCATGAATAAACCATGAGTAACTCCTAAATACAGTATTTATGCAAATCTGAAGAAGATACGATGAAATGTTTTGATAAAAATTTGATTCTGCACAAATTTAGTAATTTTTTTCCCTTATTTTGAGGGAATCCTTCGTTTCAGTTGCAGTGTCATAATGGACAAGTTCTCTCCCTTGTTGGGTTTAAAAATTTTTATCTTTCCTCGAAACCGAAACTTTTCATGATTAACGCAACAAATTTCTTTTTGTGTAATCAAACGTAAAATTACATTAAACACACATCCGGTATATGTAATTCGTTTGGATTCGATCCCGTTGATAGATAACGCGATATTGTTGTGTAATTACCAAAACGTTCATATAAATCACCGTCGGAATCGGTTGGTCTGCCATTTCGGACACAAATTCAAACCCGATTTGTTAATGCGTTTTTAAATAGGTTTCGCGTTCGAAAGCTCTTTTGATCTACTACACCCAAAATGGAAAACATTAATGTTGTTAATCAAATAACTATATACAATAATGTAATGATATTAACCACACAACATAATATATCTTCATTGCGGACGAGAGAGGGTTGCATTAAAATAAAATTAAAACCAGTAATGAAAATATAATGAAAATCGAATTATCATCGAATTAACACAATAAATAAAGGTAAATCGTGGATCCTCTCGAGTGGATCGACGACTGACAGCTCCTTTTGTTTGCTACTATTAACGCCGACAAGAAGATATCATCTATAACGTGTTCGGAAAGCGGCCGGCGGTCCAAGTTCCAAGACATCCAACCCGAGTGTTGTTCTTGAAAGGAGCTACTCTTTTTTGTCTCGTCACTTTTGTTCTTCGCCGGTGACCTCTTAACGTATTTGACTCCGGACAGATCCATCAAACCGAAAGGGAAGAGAGTGGGAGATGATAATTGACCGTTCGAGCATTCCAAAGTGACATCGGACTTTTCCGATCGAGAATTATACAAAAGCCCTAAACGATTCATATCAATTTCGTTTTATGGCCTCGTTAAATGTTAACTAAAATAAAGAAGAGTTTATAAAAAGTTGGGGTTCAATTATGGTATGTTAAGAAATAAATCACATCCGAACTTTTGAATAATGTATCTTTATGTATCCTTAAACAAAGGTGAGCAAGAACAGTGTAAAGAAAATTTTTATGTTCTTATTAAGTCTACATCATCTCTGCATTAAAACATGCTTCCATCAAGCTAAATTTGTACAGAATCAAATTTTTATCAAAACATTTCATCAGATCTGCATAAATGTTGTATTTATTAGTTACTCAAGGTTTATTCATGACGGCATAAAATCTCCATTCATTCTTTATTAACTCTGCATCAAATTTCTGAAGTTTGCATTGTTACCATAATATGTCTCATGACATGACATTATGATCTTACGCCTCCATTGAGACTAATTTAAGTCTCTGTATCAAATCTGCATTGATATAGCTGTGTCTAAATCAACTCTGTGTTTAGTCCTCGGCATGCCTCATTGATTTTATGGGTTGCAATTCCATCATTCCAACATCTTCAGGCAATGTTGATGTAAGCTAATCGTCGTAGAAAATATGGCTTACAATTTGTTAAAGCAGATCTCAAAGCAAGATCTCAGCAACTTCCAATATTCTAACCAAACTTATCTTTTTTCTATTATTATAGAGATTAGGAAATCTGCTATACAGATACTTATAACTGGGATTATCAAACAAATAAAACCCTTCCCCCTCTACCTCGAGCATTTTTTAGGGTTTTCCAAAGAATTCAGATTGTGCAATACCCTCTCTCCGGATCTATATCTCCTGTTTTAACTTTAAAATCCCTCTTAAGAATCATAATTGCCACCCAATTCTGCTCACTCTCCAAAAGAAATATCTCAACATTGAATTTATTAGGATTTACTTTAGATACTCTCCATAAATGCCCTGGCTGCTAATAAATTGTGACGCCCTAAGTAGTTGAATCTAAATCTACAAGAAAAAGATACCCAACATATCGAGGACAGAGGCGACCAAATTAGAAAAGTTTAGTTTCCAAGTTCGATGATATTTGCGAATATAATTTGGTCATAGAATGGATAATTGTTTAACAAGATGATAATTTAATACTGCTTCCGGATTGATAAAAGGTGCCAGAAAGTAAAAGAATGTTCTGCCACTTTTCTGTTTATCTTGGCCAATTTCATCATAAAGCTACTATGTTTCTGAAACGATTAATTTAGAAGTATATTCCTGGTTCAGGTGCAAAGCGTTCAAAATATTTATTACTTGGGCAAAATTTGGTGTTCGTAGTAGCAACCATATTTCCTGCCGATGATATACTGCTTCTACTGTGAGTCATTTGTTTCAATCCCTTGAAGTACTTTACTTCATAAATAACTTGGTTACTCATGTTGCCAAGAGATGAGTTGACACTCCATGGTGCAAGAAACACTGCAGTATGATGACCATGTTATTCATGATCGTAGAAACCTTTGGCAATGTAATCATGTTTCTAGATAATTTGAAAATGTCTGAGCTACAATGACTTTGCGCGGGATGTGAGAAAGTGTATTGGTTAATGGGATGACTATGATATACTTAATTAAATGATATTGAACTCAAAATACATGAACACAGTACAAACAACCGGTTTTCGTACTGGTTGATATTTGACGGTTGTTGTGATAAGTTTTGCTAAGTCTTGTTGCTCTCATGATAATTCATTCAGTGTGCAAAGATGATGTATCATTGTGATATCCTTCATAACGATCACATTCCACATTACATTAGTCTAGTGATGTGTTTGTGAGATGACTAGCAGCTTCGTGAGAAGATTGTATGTGCAAAAATACGACATACGCTTATTGATACTTTGTAAAGTCATTATACAAGCAAATTTGTAATTTATTTATTTCTAAAATATTTATTTAAATTTTTTAAATTTAGCTTAAAAATTATTAAAGAAGTAATAATTTTTTCCTGGAAATTTCAATGATATTAAATTATAGTTTTTATATCGTACCATAAACTGGCATCTTTAAACTTTAATTTAACATACATATCATATCATGATTATTAAATGATATGAAACATTTTTTATTTATAAATTTGACAATTTCTATTTTAATAATTTTTTCCAGGAAATTTCAATAACATTACCTTATAGATTTTATATCATATCATAAATTAGAATCTTTACGCCTCAATTTAACACACATATCATATGTTGATCGTTAAAAATACATCTGATATGATTTTTTGAAAACTTTGTATAATTTTCCATTTATAAATTCGACAATTTCCTCTTTAACATTTTTTTTCTGGAAATTTCAACGATATAACCTTATAATTTTTATATCATATCATAAACTGGAATCTTTAAGTTTCAATTTATCATACATATCATATCCAGATTCTTAAAAATACAGTTGATATGATTTTTTGATAATAGTATTATTTTTGATTTATAAATTTGACAATGTTTTCTTTAATAATGTTTTTCAGGAAATTTCATTAATATTACAATATAGTTGTTATATCATATCATAAACTAGAATCATTAAGCTTCAATTTAACATATGTCATATCATGATTTTTAAAAATACAGTCGATATGATTTTTTGAAATCGTTCATTTTTGATTTATAAATATAACAATGTCTTCTGTAATAATGTTTTTCGGGAAATTTCGTTAATATCACCTTATAGTTTTTACATCACATCATAAACTAGAATCTTTAAGCTTCAATTTAACACACATGTCATATCCAGATTCTTAAAAATATAATCGATATGATTTTTTGAAAACCGTATTATTTTTGATTTATAAATTTATCAATGTCTTTGTTAATAATGTTTTTGAGGAAATTTCGTTAATATCACCTTATAGTTTTTATATCACATCATAAACTAGAATCATTAAGTTTCAAT